TCCCCCCTGACTGAAACCCCACCGCCTGTTGGAAGGGGAGGATGTTAGAAAGTCCTGATTATTTCTGAGAGGCTGAGGCCGGCCGGAGGAGGAGGAGGGGTTCCCTGCACACACAGGGTGGGACGTACTTCCCTTTACTTGTAAAGGTTAAGCTGAATGTTTAATACACACACAACTGTTACATTACTGTGGTTCTTATCAGTAAATTGCTACATAAAACATAACAGCATTCTGTAAAGTAAGATGCTTTCATTCCACTTTTAATACCAAAGATTTTGAAACTCAAGGTTTACCTTTTAGTCTTCTGTGGGGCCTTCAACATCAACTTAAGGTCCAACTCTGCTAACAGAAGCCCTAAATGAACTATGGTGGTATAGCTTTAAATAATAGAGGTGGGGGCCTTTACATGTTTGTGCCCAACTACACCACTTATTTGTATTGTACTTCAATTTATTTTTCAATTCAATTTTATTCATACAGCGTCAACAACAGTCACGTCAAAGTACTTTATATTGTAAGGTAGACCCTACAATAATATATAAAGAGAAAAACTCAACAATCATATGACCCCCTTTGAGAAAGCACAACAGTGGGAAGGGAAAACTCCCTTTTAACAGGAAGAAACCTCTGGAAGAACCAGGCTCAGGGAGGGGCGGGACCATCTGCTGCAACTCGTTGGGGTGAGAGAAGGAAGACAGGATAAAGACATGCTGTGGAAGAGAGCCAGAGATTAATAACAAGTATGATTCAATGCTAAGAGGGTGTATTATGACATAGTGAGTGAGAAAGATAACTGAAGAAGAAACACTCAATGCATTTACTTAATGTATGTAATTCACTCACTTACTGAATGTCATCCTTGTACATATTCACTTACTGTTTATTAAGTTCTCTTTTTGCACAGTCAAGGAGCTTTTCAGGACACATTTCACTACGTGTTGTTCTCGTATAACTATGCATGTGACAAATAAAGAATCTTCAATCTTGACTCTTGAAATGGAAGAAAGCAGCCCTACATATTTGTTTAATATGTGCATTTAAGATGGAAAGTCTCAGATTTCAATCCACTAACTAACCATTAATTAGAGGAGTTAGGTTAACTGGAGACCCCTCCTTGAATCGCTACCTTATCGTGGTGGAGGGATTTGTGTGTCCCTGGGATCCCAGGGGCTATGTTGTCTGGGGGCTTTTGCCCCCTGGTAGGGTCTCCCATGGCAAATTGGCCCTGGGTGAGGGACCAGACAAAGAGCGATTCATAAGACCCTTATGAAAAGGACACCGAGGGAACAGTTTACCCTGCCCGGGATAGGGTTACCGGGGCCCCGCCCTGGAGCCAGGCCCGGGGAGGGTGCCCGAGGGCGAGCGTCTGGTGGCCGGGCCTTAGTCCATGGGGCCCGGCCGGGCACAGCCCGAAGAGGAGACATGGGCCCATCCTCCCGCAGGCCCACCACCCGCAGGAGGTACCATAGGGGTCGGGTGCATTGGCCTGGGAACGCCTTGGTATTCCCCCGGACAAGCTGGAGGAGGTGGCTGGGGAGAGGGAGGTCTGGGCCTCTTTGCTTAGGCTGCTGCCCCCGCGACCCGACCCCGGACAAAGCGGATGACGATGGATGGATGGAGGTTAACTGGAGATTCTAATTTCTCCATAGGTGTACATGTGAGTGCATATGGCTGTCTGTCTCTCTGTGTTTGCCCTGCGACAGACTGACATTCTGTACAGCAAGCAGGAAACTGCCTCTCACCCTACAGCACTTGGGATATGCTCCGGTAGCCCTGCAACCCTCATAAAGATAAGCATAAGTAAATGGCTCAATGGACGGACGGTAAATGTTCAGTTCTAATGTCAATCCATCATGTTTCTTTAATTACATCATCTAAAGAAATAATTTTCAATATATTACAATTATATTAGTATATTATATTACTGTTGTGCAAATGTCTTTGCTTAATATTTGATGAAAACGTCAACATTGATAAATTAGATTGAATATCCAATTTTAACTAAAAACTACAGCAATATACTACCTCAAAATCAGTTCCTCATTTACTTTAAGATATTATTAAAGCAACTTTAACATTTTCCTCTCACACACCGTGCCCTGGCGTTCCTATCTGCGAGGATGATTAATGTGATTTAAGAGAACTATTTATTATCGTCGTTGTACTTTTCCAGTCCAGTTAGAGGTCGTAATGCGTCGACTCGTCAATCGCTAAATAGTACAACGAAGAAGAAAAAGACCGGATGTTTATGTCAATGACGTTAGCAGGCGTCATTTTCAAAGCTCTTTACGGCCGTTGTCTTGGTGCTGAGTGTTTAACTCTGTACAAACAATAAAGCGCAACTACTACTTCGATAAACTACACCGGTAACATTAGCAGGATGGGTTCACGCTAACACCTAACCGGCTTGTGTGAAGGTGAGAACGGACAAGTTAAAATTAGTTAACATCGTTTCTCTTTATGTCTGGTTGGGAACGGCTAGTCAAGCTTGCTAACAGCTGTTGTAAAATCAGTTTTGAATTGTTGTTAAGACAGTAGGAAATCAACGCAGATGTTAGACTTATTTATTTACTCTTGGTGTATTTGATATTTGTTATAGAGTATCTACAGACTGTTTGTTAAAATTGCAACTGCGCTAGTAATCATACCAAAAGTGTGTCTCATTGTCCAACATTGTGATAAAAGCCCATGCGTAAAACGTGTTTGAAAAGCTTTACATGTATCAAAAGAACATTTTGTTTATGACATAACATCTTGCATCCTGCATATCTGGTTTTGTGTTTGATTTAGATTTTTTTTTTCATGTAGGACTGTTTTCATATCAGTGACTGGAAAGCTGGAAATATTATGGACAATCTGGATTTCTCAGAGGAGGAAATTCAAGAACAGTTAGCCCTCCTTGGCTACAAAAACATACCAAAGCACAGGCTGCGTGAATTTAAACAAGGTTAAACATATATCTACCAACCCTTCTTAAACCTCCCAACTCACATTGCCATATTGTTTTGCAGTTTAATATATTTATTGTGCACTGATTATTTACATTTTTAATTCTAAGAATTGATCTCTTGTTTTTCTTAATTTTCTGTCATATACTCACATTAAACATAAAAGTTTCAAATAATGAGCTCAGTAATTTTCTGTCATATATTAAACATAATCAAAGTTTCAAAAAATGAGCTCAGTAAGTAATCTCTGCGAGTAAAAAGCTCAGACTTTAGGAGTTTCAAAGAGTTGAGTAATTGGGTTGTTTTTTGGGGGAGATATGTCTTAGATAATGGATTTCCCTTATGTGGTTATGTCAGGAGCACAACTCTAGTTATGGGCACACGTGTTGTTCAAACCATCAGTTTCTGAGGCGCAGTTAATCAGAGGAAAGTTAGCCTAAAGAGAGATGAAATTAAACAGTTGTTTCACACTATAGATGAACTGAGGGGCTGCACAGAAGTTAAGGATTATTTTGAACTGTGAATCATGCAGAGCTACTCTGGTAGAGTGTAATAATAGAAATAGATGTGGAAATGACAGACATTACAGGAAATGATTGCAGACATGTTAATCAGTAAATATTGAGGGAAAACTGTCATTTCTGTGATTAGATCTGGATGAGCTGGTTCGACGAGGGGAGTGGAAAGGCCTTTCCTCATCAAATGAGATAAATGCCAAATCTCAGGCAACTACACCTCAGCCAAGTCCCCCTGCCTATACCAAAGAAAAGGGTCAGAGCACTCACTTTGTGATTTTGAGTATTTCACTTTTATAACACTTAATAACATCTAACTTGAGCTCTGTTTTTCTCCACAGTTAGTCCACACTGCTTTAAAGGCACTAGTGAATCATTCTTCCTACATGCAGGCAGTACAGACCATGCCAGAAAGGTAAGCATTAATGACTCATAACATACAAGATATGTTTTTATATTATATTCATTTATTCTTGCATTCATTGCTCTATTGAGCCAAATGCTGTTAATGTGTTGCCACATAAAATCATGTCATGAGTAGCACTACTTTGATTGGACAACAAACATAGTCTTAATTGTAATGGTGTCAGGCATGTGCAATAAATTAAAAGCATGTAATGTCACGCCCAGACACTCATCAACTGTTATAACGGAGACTATGACTCGTACGCTCAACACTCGGTGGCCCAGAAGCTCAAGCTCCCTCCAGGTGCTCCAAGCAGGCTTCAGGTGGAGCAGGATCTTGAGGATACCATCCACTCACCACTGACAGATAGCTACACATCTACCCCAGACACCCAGGGGAGACACTTCATCAAGAGAAAAGTTCTGAGGTAGTTTTACGAATCGTGTGCTAATTTTTTCATTTGTTTGTCCAGAGTTAATTTTAGTTTTATTTGTCTTTCCAACTAGCAGCAGCTGGATTTTTCTTTGCATTAATAAAAAAAAGCACGTAAAGAGTAGGATTTCATGCGTTTCTAGGAAACAGCTTTCCGGATACAATTTTGTTCTGATTACCAAAGAACAAGTTTGTTTGTTTATTTTTGTTTGTTTGTTTTTTCATGTTATTCTGCTCTGTAACCACTAATGGCTCACGAGTGAAAGAGTCTATGGGTTTATGGGCCTATGTGCTTACTGTCTGGATTAGTCTGTTTTATTTTTTTACAGTTTATTTAAACTTTAAACTTTATTACAGTTTAGCCCAAGATTTTAAATAAATATGAAATAAAACCCGTGTTTTTCATCATCTCTGACACGGATCTCCAATTTATATCGCAGGTCGATATTCAAATTTAAGTTGTTTTTTTAATCATTGACATATTCTTCTCTTTTTATATCATTTCTTCATTGGCTAACACTAACAGGGAATTTGTGGCACATCTGGAACAAGTCAACTTATTGTGGAGAGATGACTTGTTCCAGATGTGCCAAATGGAGAAGGTCTTCAACTCTAATTATGCTTCCCGCCCCTCAGGAAACACAAAGGACAGTCACTTGTCTGTGATGAATCAGTCTACAGTGAAGACTCAGGTAACAAAAACTAATGGACAAAAATCTGTAATATCTTCTGATCATCTGCTTTAAGGTTTATTGTTCTAAAATAATAAGTAATAATGTTCGATTTTATGTTTTCACAAAGCTGTAATGTACAATTGTACTGTGTACTATTAATCAAATTGGGATTTTTTTTTTTTAGGTAGCTTTACTATAACTAGATTAGAATAAAAAAAAAAATAGGTAAACTGAAGTGCAGAAATAATTTCAAGAAGAAAATGAAAGAATAAATTGACTGAGTACTGCTGTAGACATCCAGTTTGTATTTATGGATCACAACAAGTTTTATCCGAAGTTTCATGTTTATAGTTGAACCCTGGCCTTCATTGTCTCACAATAAGAAACAACTATTGAAACAAGCAGCATTAAAGAGTAAATGCAGCAGTGTAATTCCTTTTGGTCAGCAGCAGTGGGCGCTGTTCCAGTGAGAAGAAGCTTTTGAGGCTTCAGCTAATCCTCTTAGCTACTTCCTTAAGTCCTGTGCCTTCTCAAATCACACACTCCATACACCTGAGTTGTAGTGCAAACTCAACATGTACAAAATGTGCAGCACTCAGTCAGACGAAGAGAGTGAAGATGACAAGAATTCCCTTTCCTTCTCATTTTGGTCTGATGGAGATGAGGAGAAAGAAGAAGAAGAGGATGAGATTGAGCGAATGATTGACTCTAAACCAGCCACCGATGCAGAAGATTTACTTCAGGGGGCTTCAGAGGAGGTAAAGAGTGGGTTGAACAACCAGAGCAACTTCAGCAAGGAAAGTTTGGATAAGACAAATAACGATGAGGAGGAGGAAGAAGAAAGGTGTAGTAGCAGTCCAGATAGTCTCGCACCAAGTCTGATGACCTCTGGCTACGGGACCTACAAACCAGAGGGGCAGGAGGGAGCAGAGTACAGAGATGACCACACCATAACAGAGTTTGATCAGGATAGTCTGTCTGAGATGAGAGAGGACGAAGAGGACAGTCGGTCACTCAGCAGCTTTGGCGACTTTATTGAACCTACACATAAGCCAGACTTCAATGAACTGTCTGTGTTAGAGGTCAGCAAGATTTTTGATAATGTGGCGTGCTGTAGAGAAATCATCCACATCACAGAAGTGCATTCGGAACAGAAGAAAAAGCAGGCAGGTGAGGAGGAGTGCGATCTACATGCGGCATCTGAAAAGAAAGCACCAAAAGAACAGCATCGCACTGTTCAGGCTGAAGACATGTTCCGGCTGAACGAGAAGCAAAAACAAGAAATAGAGGTGCACGACCTTCATGGGTTCAATAATGTCAAGAAAGACGTCGGAGGAAAAGCGGAGTGTGAAGATCCAGACGAGTCTTCGAGCAACAAAGACATCAAGTTTATTGACTCCAGAGTGAACATTAGCTCGACCATGATGTATGGCAACATGTGTGCAGAGTGGGAAGGAAACCTCAGACAGGACAGGGGTAAATGTTTTCCAGCTTCTAAATCAGCACGTCATGATACTTGTTACTGTAAGGAGGTTGGTTTTTTTTGCTGTTTGGTCAGAGGCTCAGAAATGGGCTACATGTTTTTGGGCATTTAGCCATAAAAAGGTCAGCTTTGAATAATAAATTACATCCCAGTTTGGACATTTAAAAAAAGGTTATTGAATTTATATTCAGAAAAATAAATACATGTTGTATGAAAACAATTTTTCAAAGAGTTAAATTTCTTGATATAAGATGTACATTTTTAATGCAGGTATTAAATTTCAACATCACATTAATTGTAAATTGACTTCTCAATTAGTGTTGATATGAAAAGTTTAAAAGGTGGGCTGATTATGCTTTCCCTTATTTTCTAACATACATATGTACTATTACAAAATAAATACTTCTGTTAAACAGGTCGAGTGTTTTAAATAATGAGGTGTTCATGTGTGTTAGTAATCGATGTGAGACTTAAGCTTCTCACTGATCTAAATGCTCATTTTAAGGCCGTTTTTTCAACCCTTTGAGGGCAGCCAATCAGGAGAATGTTGTCTTGGAGCCACTTATAGGAAGAGGAACTAAAATGTAATTCTGTCAGAGAGTAGATGAACCTTGAAGCAGAACCAAGGCTCACTATCAAATTAAAAATAATTATTTTGAATTGTGACAAAAATATGGAAATTTGCTAATTTTAGCAGGGAAAGTTTAATATTTATACATGTATTAACACAGACTTTGCTACTCTCTTCAAAGTTGCTAAGAATCCAAATATGGAGTTGGAGATAAGCAAACTATGTCTCTTTTAAAGTAGCTGAGAGTGAAGTGTTGGGTTTGCTGATGGTTAGTAATTTGTGTTTGCAGGTACAGCGAGCTGTCTGGAAGAAAGACTGGCTCAACTTCATTTAGCTACATCACCTGAGCAGGAGTCACCTGAGTCAGACAATGAAGACCTGGACGATCAGAGCGACACTCAGACCTCTGAGAGTGAAAGAGTGTCTTTAAGCGCTTTTGAATCGTACATGAAAGGCATGGTGGGTAATATGTCTGTGAAGGTTCTCAGTCATCCAGGTCAAAGGAGCTTGCAAAGAAAAGCATCTGGACTTCTTTAAGTTGCTTGAAGACGTTTCACCTCTCATCCGAGAAGCTTCTTCAGTTCTAATGTCAAATGGTGGAGAGTCCCAGATATAAACCTAGTGGGAGTGACCCCCCACAGAGGGACAAAAGGACCCCCTGATGATCCTCTAATCGCCTGAGCCAAGGTGGGAAACTGGGCGTGGGTCCCAATCCGCCAGAGTTTCGGGTGTGTTCATTGTGAAACCTGGCCCCACCTTATCATGCGAATTCCTGAGGTCAGATGGCCCAGGATGTGAGTGGGCGTTAAGGCAACTTAAAGAAGTCCAGACGCTTTTCTTTGCAAGCTCCTTTGACCATGGTGGGTAATGTAGTCTCTTAAGATTTAAGAAATTTAATAGAGTTCAAAGTGTGTCTTCTGTCCTATCTTGCTCCTCCTGCCAACGGGTGAGGGGGGATAGCTGCCCTTCCCTTAGCCTGGTTCTGCCAGATATTTCATCCTGTTAAAAGGAATTTTTTTTCCTTCCCACTGTCACCAAGTGCTTGCTCATAAAGGGGTCATTTGATTGTTGCTGTTCTCTCTCTATGGGTTTACCCTGTTGTAGGGTCTTAGTTTACAATACAAAGTGCCTTGAGGAGACTGTTGTTGAGATTTTATGCGATATTATATCTATAGCTATATTATATTAATAAAACTAACACATTTTCTTCTGTTAATAACAGTTGAAGATGTAATATCTTGGTTTTTTTCTTCTGTTTGTCTTTCTTTATGGTGGAAGCAGACTCGAACTAAGAGTGATGGTGATATAAGGCCCAAACCAAAGTCCTGTAAGCTGGCAATAAAGCACAATATAAAGATTTTGCTTTCTCTGAACTTTCGATAATTTCTCACATAGATTTTCATTTCAGTCATCCGGCCAGTGATGAGTCAACAGACCATAAAGAAGACTGACCCAGTAGCCAAGTAAGTTACAAAATGCAGTGGTTAAAAAATGAAAAGGATTGCCACTTCTGTTTGAGACTCACACCTGAAATAATGTGGAATTATGATTCTAGAGGCTCCTGATAGGTTTCTTAATGATTTCTTTTCCATTAGAAGACTCATGTGCAGCACCTTAATGCTTCCATACAGCACTTCAGTACTTCAGTACTAACTTGTGTTAGTGTAAGTTAGACAGTAATTATGCCAAATAAAGGACAGTAATTTTAATTGATTATCCTCATGTTGTATAACAGTTCTGTAACATTCTGTTTGTACTTCCTTAATACAGCAGCAGTCTGGAAGAATCACACCCATCAGGTTCACATTGATGTGATGGTTACATGTTTGCTCACTGGGTTTTCTTATATCTGCAGGTATTTCCAGTATAAGCAGCTCTGGGAGATGTTCAAACTTTCAGGAGAGAAGGACAGGAGGGCACTGCGCTCAGAGATTAAGGTAGAAAATATAACTTCAATAGGCAAGTGTTAGCACTCCTCACATAGATGTTCAATCATCTTTGTTTTCATACTTGTGGGATGAGACATAAAGTTATTACACCGTCGCTTTTCTCAGTAATAGAATGATCTGACTTATAAATTCCTGTTTTGTTTCATTGTCCTGGGCAGCAATGTTTATTGGAAGTACTTATGAGTGTATGTTTTTCTTTTCAGCAACGGCTCACATATCAGCCTCCACCAGTAAGTATTTCTCCAGATTTTTTTTTCTATTTCTCATTTGTCCTTTT